CATCAAGATGAATTTCAGCATCAAGCACCCAAGACATGTAGCTTTTGCCCGATATATCCAGGACTACAAATTCAAGTTTAGAAAGATTTGACATTATTTAGGAAAAGAAAGTTCTTACCTCAGACGACTCAAAATATTTGCTCGAGATGGCAGAGTCTCGTGCTGATAACGTGTTATAAAATAAAGACTGTAAAGTAAAGACAAGTATAGAGAGAAACTGTTATATTATTCGAATTCAAACTGATGTACATAATGAACTGAAATTTCTTCTATTTATAGAAGAAAGGAAGCTGTTGTGTAAGCTGCTACTATACCAGATATGGATAATCTTCTACTGAGAACAATGTTTATCCATAACGGAGTAGTGAAAGGATAAGCTTATTATACCTGATATGAATAATCTTCTACCGGGGGTAATATTTATCCATACTGGAAGGATAAGCTTATTATACCCGGTATGGATAATCTTCTATCGGGGGTAATGTTTATCCATAACCGGGTATCGAAGTGATAAGTTTTTTCAAGAAGCTTATTTCCAATAGAGTACTTAAATAGATAAACATATTTACGGTGGAGTCCCATATGGATAAGCTTCTTCAGGAAGCTTATTTACAACGGAGTACTAAATGAACATCCATAATATAATATATTTATAACAAGTTTAACATTTATTTAATTAGTATATCAGATTATTAATTAATGCATATAAAAAATTTACTCTGGTTTAGTGAAATAGTTCAGGGGTTTAGCTTACCATCAATTTTCTGTGTTTCATCTCCACTTTACCTTTTTCATGTGCGTCACGACTCACGACCCACGACATTAACAAAAACGAATTCACCAATTGCAAAAATTGAAATGGTTCTTCTTCTCCGAACATCAACATTAACATTGCCACAAAAACCGGTCCAAAATCCAAATTGTCCGAAACCCATTCTCTTCTCTCCTCCTCCTTCATCAAACTTCATTACAGTTTCACAATAACAATGGTTGTTGAAGCTCATCAGCTATTTCTCCCAAAACCCCCTTTCTTTTCACCTTCTTTCCCTTCTCCACCCCCTCACTTTTCTTCTTTCCTCTTTGACCCTTCTTCTCTCTCTTTAGCTCTCTTCCATTCCGATTCCTCTATCTCTCTCTACCCTTCTTTTTCCCCTTTCTCTCTCTCCTCCTTTCCTCCTCCTCAAACCACCATCCCTCCGCCCGTCTCTGCCGCCGCTTTCCTCCTCCTCCGGAACCCTTACCCTACTACCCTCTTTCTCATCTCTTCTCCTATCTCCGGCGGTTCCTCCATTCTCCTCCGCTTCTACATCCTCAACGCCGCCCGGAAAAGTTTTGCTCCGGCGAAAGTTGTGTGCAATCACAGTGATTTCAAGTTTGACGAGAGTAAATCTGGGGTTGTTTTTAGGGTTTCTCATGGGGTTTCGCTGAAATTGGTTGGGGATGTGAATGTGTTTGCTCTATACTCTATTTTGAATGGTAAAATTTGGATTTTTGCTGTGAAGCACCTGAGGGATAATGAGGTGAAGCTAATGAAGTGTGCTGTGATTGATTGTTCATTGCCGGTGTTTTCGATTAGTCTTTCGTTTGGGTTCCTGATTTTGGGGGAAAATAATGGGGTTAGGGTTTTACCCTTGAGGCCATTGGTCAAAGGAAGAGTTATTAAGAAAGAGAAGAAGAGTTTGAATGGAGGGTTAGAAAAAGATAAGATGGAGATAAAAAAGGTGTCTTTACGAAATGGGATGATTAATGGAATTAATGCTGAGATTTGTTCTGCTGATGGTAACAAATTCACTACGGAATTGAAGTTCCCTTCCACTGGTGTGTTGGAGGAAAGGATCGAAAACCGCACTGGATCAGGTGCTGAAATACTTTCTTGTTTGCTGTCTTTTTGTAGCTATTTGAGAAGCTTAGGGTGGAGACCCCTAGCTGTTTTAATGGTTATTGCTTTTAAATTGCTATTTTGCATTTCTGGTGATATGGACTGCTTAAGCCTGGATACAGGATCTGTACATGTATCTACTGTTTTACTCAGTTTTTTACTTTTTTTAGTCCAGCATATCTTTGTATAAAATTAGGTAAGATCATAGTATTCCTCAAGGTAATTAGCTCCTTAAAACTTGTCTATGTACTCTATGTAAAAGCAATACTTTAGTGGGTATTTCGTGTATACATTGCTTGGATTAGTTTCTAAGTAGAAATAGCTGCCTAGAAAGGTTAAATAAAATGAACTGGTTTCCTGCTATTTATCCGCAACTTTAGCGACCGCTGCACCCCTCTCAAGACCCATAACTTCACAAGTCACGGGGTTTGACTTTCTAAATTGTCTTCAAAACAGTACCTTCTTAGTATGCTTGGTAAATACATCCTATTAGAATAGTCTGATACCAACAATGTCATGCTAGGGATAATTTGAGCTTCAGATGTGTTTCATAGATATAAGGACGTTATGATGGATGCAGATATACAGAATTTGACGGATGTTAGATACTATCACATCTGTTAGAGAGTACAAGTAACACCCATGGATGATATAATGAGATGTTATCTTAAATGGTTTAGTTATGTCATACGTATATCTCCATATGTGCCGATTCATAGTTGCAGTTTTATAATGATTAAAAATGATAAAAGAGGACCTAAAATCAAATGGAGAAAAGCAGGCTAAAAGATATCCAATTGATTTCGAATCAAACAGACTTAACTAAGAACATAATACAATATAATAATAGGATCCTTATAAGCGATACCAATTAATTAAGATTAGGTTTATTTACATGCCGGGTGTTCGTCAAAGCGTCACTTTATTCTGGTTAGAGACTTATATATTCACATAGGGATAAGAGTGAGATGTACACAACCTCTAGTTTTAGAGAACTCTTAAAATTAGTTACTATCATAATGAAATGAACGTGAATAGAGCAGAATGGATACAGAGTATTCTTATCCCTAAATGTCTTCCCAGTAGCTTGTGTTCAGCAAATAATATTGATCATTTTTTTGATTTTGCTAACTTCCTGATCTTATGTTAGAAAGTAGTCATGTTATGGAGCTAACTTTCTCTTTTGTATCCATTACATCTTCTTGATGCCATCAATGAATATGAAACTACTTACAACAACAAGAACAACATACCCAATATTATCCCACACCAATGGGGTCTTGGGAGGGTAGTGTGTATGCAGACCTTACCCCTACCTTGTGAGGATAGAGAGACTGTTTGCAAATATGAAACTACTTACTTTATCAAAAAGGGGATTTTTATAGCACACCCTGAATAATTGGGATTGAGGCGCCATTGATTGGTTGACTTGTAACTGGTGTAATATTTTGTTTGACTTATCAAAGATACGGCTTTAATTATGTTGTGAGTTCTCTTTAGATGATACACTTCCTCCCTCCTCTTCCATTATGGATCTCTCTCTCTCTCATATATATATATATATATATATATATATCTTTATCTTTATCTCTCTCTCTCTTTTCCTTTCTGAGAGACACATTTATTGTCTTGGAAACTAGACACATCTATGGTCTGAAAGGTATCATCAAGAGTGAAGAAACTAAATGAGATGGTGCTTTCATTGAAATTATCTGGTTCAGCTAGTCTTGGATTAGTATATTTACGTTGGAATGATGGTAATGCTTTATTCCAGTTCTACCTTTACCTGCACGGGCACTGAGAGTATTTTTTTGAGTTTATTATTGTATTGAGTTTCATACACGTTTAAAATATATTTTTTGAAATGTGAAAGGTTGAAGTAGTCATTTAGAAAGATGTCAAATCGACCTGGAGATAATGTGAACTAGCATTAGTTATATTTTCTTGAATTTTAGGAGTTAGGATGCAGAAAAAAGTTCTGTTAAAAAAATTGGTAATGTTTTTCAAGATGGATAACAGAAGAGAGTAGGTCAAGTATTTTGGGATGGAGGGGGTAACTTCCCTGTTCCAAACAATAAACCAACAGGTTAGGGTTGCAATATTTTATCCTTATCCGCCTTTTGTGACAGACCCTTCCTAATGAAAAATAGTACAAAACAAGTATGACACCAATGATTTGTATAATGTCAGTGTCACTGTCAAAGTCATAGAGTGCGGTGTGAATTAGTTAAGCTAACGACCGAACTGAAGACTTTAGCCCTAATTTCATTCTTTGAATTTTGGTGTGGAACACTTGGCATTCCGTTTCTTGTCCTCTGTACCTCCTCTATGTTTCTTTCGCCCGCTCAAAGATATGAATGCATGACAAGGCTTGTAGGAGATTATTATACTTATTTCCAGTAAAAAAAATTCCTTAGTTCTACTATTTTCATGTCTGCCTCCATCACCATTTTTTTTCCTTTTATTTGGGCTGGTCTTGTCTTAATTTTGTGACTAAGGTACCTCTGCTATTTTTGCTATTTTAAAAATGTAATAATGTATCATTTACAACTTGCTTTAAGTTTTCTGTGATTTCTCCATCATATTAGATCTTGAAGCTCTAATTTTGTCATTTCCTACAGCTGCTGATTGTGCATTCTAACTTGCAGCAAAGTTAAGGTCTGTGAGACTTACACAAAATTCCATAGAATGGATTGCAAGCTTTGTGGCATTCAAGAGCAAGGATGATAATTTCGAGTCAATCAAGATGCCGGCTAAGTCAGCAAAAGCAATTGGCATTCAGGCCTTGTCTTCAACCAAGTATCTGATCTTGGACTCTGAAGGAAATCTTCACCTCTTGTTCCTGGCAGCTTCTGTCCAGGGATCAGAGACACCTTATTACATGAAACAGTTGACTCACAACATGAAAGTTCGAAAGCTCGTTGTTTTCCCGGATTCTTCTACAAGTATAAGCCCATCCCTTTCAATTCATAACTTTGTGTTCATTTTGTTCATTTTGGGGGAGGTAATGCCGTGTTAGTTTGCTAATATCTTACTTCAGAAATTTATATAAAAAGGCTATGTCATAGAATATCAGCATTCTCCTTTAGCTTTATCATGAGAATAAAAAATTCTGTTCTGTAATGCCATTGAATGTTCCATCTTTTCAGGATCACAGACTGTTTGGATGTCAGATGCACTCCATACTGTTCACATGATGGTGGTGACGGACATGGATACTTCTGTCAATCAAACTGACAGCAAAGACCCTGCAGAGAAGCTTGTACATACTTCAGGTATTGTTTTTCTTTTTCATGTATTATCATGTTTCTAAAATAGGAGAAGCATTTTATATCATGAATTATGCCTTTAATATTTCTGATTCAGTTGCCTATTAAAATGATATGTAACACCAAATATGCATCAGTTCAAACTTCGGATGGTTTTACATGTACGAGGATATGCGTAGATGAAGAACATTCATTTGTTTATTTTAAGATTGCCATCCTTGTATTATCAGCTCCCTTTTTCTGTTGATAATGCATTGAGCTATCACAATCCAAGTGTCATTTGGGACTAGGAGGGTACATGGGTTATTCCATTAGATTCCCAAGGTGCTCGTGACTATGTCATATCAAAAGTGCCTTCAAAGTTCATCAATACTATATTTGTCTACCATCAGGTGATTGGTGGTCTGGTTTTCAGTGAGCATCATTGTTATCTTCAGTGGTTCATCTAGCCAGATAAATCCTGGTCTTTCTTTTTCCTCCCTGAGTTTTTTGGATCCTCTTAAGAGTATAATCAATGTGATTCGTAGAGCATCTCAGTCTTTCAACAATTCTGCATGTTTATTCAACTTGCAAATGTTCTGTTCCTTGAGGTTATTCCAAGAAGGATGAATTAATTTGATTAGATACGTGATTGGTCTTTTCTGACCACTGATTATATCAGTACTGATCATTTATAAAGTTAAGAGCTATTAGCAACTTAAGTAACTGTTCTCTTCTTTTACCTTTATGTAGTTGTGCAAGCAATATTTTCCAGTGAAAAGGTCCAAGAAATTGCAGCTTTGGCTGCGAATACAGTATTGCTTCTTGGACAAGGTATGCACAACTAAATTTGTATCTGGAGCATGCATCCCTAAATTTTTTCCTACTAATGACAAGAGTAAAAATTCAATCAAGGTAGTTAGCGTGCTTGAATAAAGAGTAGTTCAAACTCAAAACTAAACTAACATGCTTGAGGTCATCCATTACAAGGTAATTCTTTCTTTTGTGCAACTGTTGGTCAGTTTGACCTTTAGTTGACTGTATTCGGGCACGTTTTTGCCCCTTCTCTAATGAAATTTATTACGTTACCAAAAAAAAAATAATGACAACAGCCTGTTCGATTTATTGAGTTTCATGCTTGAAATACATGAGTTGACTTTTTAAATATTAATTGACAACATCCTGCAGGTGTAATTTGTTGACTTATATACTAGAAGCATTAGCCCTAGATATTGCAGTCATTGGTGGAAAACAAACTCTTTGTTTATAAAGAACTTCTGCTGATCACGCCCTCTGTTATTTTCAGGAAGTATGTTTGCATATGCAATTTCCTAGAGATGCTGAGTGGTTCTTTTTGGTCAGTGAGTCCTCCCCTTCATTAACATACTTTTTCTACCAGTATTTTGGATTTTCTGACAAGGTGATTTCTTATGGGCATCAGCAGAAATTTCTTTGCTTGATTGGTGTCAAAAAGATATTTACATGAGCTATCTTACACATAACTATCAAGTTATTTTGTTTGCTCGTATGAAGAATTTTTTTTATGTTTCAGTGCTTTATAAACTAAATTAGTTTTTGAAGACTTGGAAATATAAACCTTTTCTCGTCTCCCTTTTTTTTGCAGGCTATTCACGTTTCACATTTGGATAGAAAAGTAATGCCAATCGGGTGGTTTTGCTGGAGTTCTCTTGTGGGAGGAGTAAGTGTTAGAAGTGATTTGTTTATTAAAATGCTCCTTCTTTAAGTTTTAGAACTTGGTCATCTTCGTTTGTTTCACCTGGCTATTGTACTTCTTTTGTGGGTGGTGAGCAGTTTTTGAGCTGCAGCTGTCAATATCTATCAAATGGTTCATATCAAGTGAAGGAGACTGAGCTCTTGAAGTAAGCATCTTGATCTTTTCATTTCTCACTATCTCTACCAGATGAAAAACTTTTCAGTATCTCGGAGAGATGTATTAAGAACTTGCTAGTGTTTTTAGGGTTCAGAAGTATTTTGTGAAAGACTATTTGAGAAACTGGATCGGTTAGAGGGTCGCATAGAGGAGTGTGTAGCATAATCTATTCCACACGAATAGTTTACCTGTAACTATTCAATGCATCTACAAAATATTGATAAATGCATTGTTTGTGAAGTATATGGTTGTGGTGGCATCTTTCTCAACAAAAAAAAAATTCCTTCTCCTTCTCAAAAATGTGTGCGTGGTGGCACGAGCTATGGATAGAAGAATTTTAAAGAATTACTACATTCTTATGATGGATTCTAATCTGGTTGAGATGTCATTGTTTCTCGGATAACTTGTGAAGGGTGAATAATTGAGTCAATTCAACTAGATCTTCACCTGTTGTATCTGGGTCGAAATTTTGTTATTGGTTTCATATTTTACTTTCAGTGAATTATTTGATACACCATATGTAGGTTGTATAAGAAACATATTTAATACCTTATATTGTGTTTTTGTTGGTAGAGAAGCTATTGGAGGATCTGACTATTGGCTGTTGGGCGAGGTCAACTCTTTCAGCAATTGATGCCCGCGTGCTGCACGACTTCCATGACTGCAAAGATAGTGCATTGTAACCACTGAAGCTGTGCATGTATGATGATATAAATGTTACATGTGTTCCTGGTCTTTGCTACTGGAATCCTCAACATTGATGGGGTATGAGATCAAGCATCCATGTTGAAACGTGTGGTAAGAGGGCTTCTGCCATTGTATTGGTCTAATATCGGCTTGTTTTTGGAAGTTTAGCTTCTTTCTGTAATAAGCTTGTCAGAATTATGTATGTCAGATATGGGGTTATGGTTATACTGATACCTGGATACTTAAGCTGTCATACTACATCGTTATTCATAGACCACATATTATGGAATAAGAAGTCTTTAGCCTATTCATGATTGTAGTCGAGAATCATCTCGAGGATGTTAATTAGCGGGGTAACAATTTCCTCCTTTGACGTTCTATCTCTTTATTGCTATTATCTCTTGCCTTTCTCGAGTATGGATGCTGTAGAACTCAACTTGGTGGTGACTTAAGTGGAATATAATATGTTGTTTTCACCATCTATGACTCTTCACCGCTGTGCTAAGTTCTTTACTTGTATGCAGCTTAATTCTGATTTGGTTTCTGGCCGAGGATCATTGCTGACTGGACAATTACTGGTGTTGTATAGTATTTCATTTGATAGCCTCCATTTGAACCTTAT